TCCTTTATAACTCTGCCTCCTGTATCCTGTTGTTATTGTCCCAAATTACAAATTATATGTAGTGTGTCCATTAACAAAGATTTATAATTGGTTTATACATTTGTCTTTTAAGTAAAAAAGAGGAGTTGTAAATGAAAAAAACACAATAATACTTTTATATTTACCTATGTACCTGTGCATGTACCACTGTTCTTTCTTTGTATGGCTTTGAGTCACTGTCTAGTGTTTTTTCATTTCAGCCTGAAGGCTTTCCTTTAGCATTCTGCACAGGGCATGTCTACTGGGACAGACTCCCTTAATTTTTATTTATCTGTGAGTGTCTTAATTTCTCATTCATTTTTGAAGGATAGTTTTGTTGGATACAGAATTCTTGATTGACAGGGTTTCCCCCTTCCCTTTCAATACTTTAAATATGTCATCCCATTGCTTTCTAGCATCCACAGTTTCTGAAGAGAAATCTCTGTTAATATCATTAAGGATTCCTTGTATGTGATAAGATGCTTCTCTCTTGCTGCTTTCAAGATTCTTTCTTTGTCTTTGTCTTTCAACAGTTTCACTATAATGTGTTTCCTTGTGGATCTCTTTGATTTTATTCTGCTTGGAGTTTGTTGAGCACGTTGAATGTGTAAACTGATGTCTCACCAAATTTGTAAAGCTTTTAGGTATTATTTCTTCAGGTATTCTTTCTGCTCTGAGTTGAGCAAAATAAAAGCCAGCCCTTACACCAGTCCTTCTGGGAACTGCTAGACAGGTAAAACAAACAAACAAACAAACAAACAAACAAATATAACCTCAGTTATTTGAGAATAAGGTTTTGTTTTGCTCACTCTGCACTAACAACCTGCACTGGGAACATGAATTACCATCTTCATGGATACCATCAATCTAGGGAGTGCAGGATGAGGTGGCCAATTTAAAATGCAACAGCATTCTCTTACTGCAGGGTGACAGCAATAAGTATCACAGTAAGTGTGACAGCCTCTTTCTTTATTAATCTTCCTATAAATTCTTGACTACATTCCAGAGTTTTGCAAAAGTTGATTTAAACAGGATTTTTTCTAGGTTATTAGTTGATTTTTACAGCTGGCTGGAAGCTTTGAGTTCTCTACTCCACCATTTTCAGTGATCTCACTTCCTTCTTTTCCTTTTTGAATCCTTTATTGGATCTCTATATATTCCCAAAAAGTACATGTTACAAATCCTATTTTATTTTTATTAAAAAGGGATTATATATTATCTTTTGGCCCCCTTTTCACTGAATACTGTTTCAAGTCATCCGTATTTTTGTGTGTGATATTGTGGTTCATGTTTTGACGGCTGAATGGTATTCCAGCATAGGAGTATTTCCAGGAGATTGTTTAGCTCTTACTGTGTAAATATTTTGTTTGTACACCTTAATTGAGGTGAGGTAGTATAAGAGATAGCTTGCTTTTCCAGGTACCAACTAGCAGGCCAATTTAAGACACCTAGTATGTGCAGCATGGTACCAGCCTCTGAAGGGTATGTTGGTATGGGAGGGTGGGCCCAGCTGGTGCCTAACTCAAATGTGAGATGGCAAGGATGGGCGCAGGCGGCAACTATTTGTGGACATGAAAACGGAGGGGGAGAATTCCAAGGCACCACTGAGGAAGAATTGCTGACAACCTTTGCAGGAAATTGTATACAGATGGTAAAGGATCAGGAATTGAAATAACCTCTAAGGATCTCAAGTCTCAGAAGCTGGGGTAGATGTGTTTGGGGGAAGGGATGATTCTAGGAAGAGAAGCAATGGAGTTTTGAAAAACAACAAGGCAGAGCAGGATTTACATCATATGAATGTCTCAGCGTCTGTTGCTCTTCAGGCTACTCCTGGATCAAGGCAGGAGTTTTACCTCTTGTCTCTGATTTTGGAATGCTTTTCCTCTCTAATCTAGCTTGCATTTTCCTGTCAGATAGAAAACCACCATTTGCTTGACTCCCAGCATGGCTCCTCGCCTGCCTTCCCAGCCTTCCACCTCCCTGCCCATGTACCCCACAGCTCCCAGTAAAGTTGGGGCAATGCTCCTCTGCACCAGCTCTAAGCCACACTGGGACTTCCTGGCTGGTAAAGTCCCCACGGCCTTACCGTCTCCCTGCTGCCTCTAAAATGCTGTAATTCCTTTGGGGTCCAGCTCAGATCCTGCTTTTTTTCCGTGAAATCTTTCCACACTTTCTTTCTTCCTTTCCGGAATAGCCATTGTATATGGAGTGCTTATTTGGATTTTTTTTTTTACTGAACCAAAGTCACATATTGTTGAAATGACCTAAAATTTTAAAAAAAATTATCTTTCTTTCATAAATAAGTTATTCATGTTCTAGAATGATATATGTGGGAAGGGCTTGTGCTTCAATTAAGGAGAACAAAAGTAGTAAATCTTTTGAAAATATTCCATGGGGTTATTATGCCATTTAGGTTAAGGGAGTTTCTCACCAAAGTTGAGAAAAGTTTGCACCTAAACAGCATTTAAGAAGTGACTGTGTACTCCACTTCTGTATTCAGAGTTTTGGGGTCATCAAAACTGCGTTCTCTCTTGCCTGTGGCATAGCCATCAGGTGTGGCAGGTGCAGGAGCTGGTCAAGGGCACCCTCTGGCCAGGTGCTCTCCACTAGGTACCTGGGGTCAGGTGCCCTCAAAGCCCCTTCATAAAACTGGACAGTCCTTGCATACACTGCTTACTGGAAACATAGCCATTTGCTTGGTATTTTATATTCATTTGGTATTTTATGTTTTAATATCACAGGCAAATCTGACCAAAATGATATTTGTTTTCAAAGCCAAGTTTCTTCAGAGCTTGTCAGCAAACCTTCAGAGTTGAAGGTTGCTGCATGGAAATGAAATCAACTGTGGGCCTTTGACACAATGAATTGGACTTAGGTAATCAGTGGAGCTTGGGGGGGGGACATTAGGACAATTCATGCGTAAGGGACAGCATGTGCGTAAGTCAGGTTTTAATTTGAGTTTATGATGGCAATGTCCCCGTTGGTTCAGTTTTCTAAGTCAGAAGGGGGTAGATTGAAGCCACTGTTTTAACTCTTGGTGCAAATGCAATTTTTTTTTCTCTAACTGGTAACATTTACTACAAGATGGAAATCTTTTGATTGATTCAGCATTGCTACGGCCTTGCATTTTATCCTTATACCTAAGAAAATCGTATATTATGTACATAGAATGTGCTTAAGTAACATTTCATTAAAGTCTTATTGTGTACCGGCGCTATGCTCAATCCTCATCCTACCTGAATGACCACATCTATTTCTCACAATGATGCTGTGAGATAGGTAATCATTTACCCTGCTTTACAGATGAGGAAGCAGGAGCTGAGAGGTTAGGAAGCCTGCCCCAGGGTGGATAGTGTGTTAGAGGCCAGACAGGACTCCAGCCCTGAAGCCCGCACTCCCACCACCATGTTCTGTGTACTGCTTATTAACATCTATGGGCTGAAAGAATATTAGGTGGCCTAGATTTAATGGGGATGTCATACGAGACTCACACATAAGATGGGTACTGAACTTGGTGCTTCCAGATCCTTCCCTCACTCTGAATTTGTGTCCAGACTGCAGAAGCCTTCTGCTTATGTCTCCGAAAGCACCACTTCCCTGTGTGGGACACACCCTTCCGCCCCATACTTTTAGTCATTCTGGAATTCAAAGGATAGTTAGGCAGCTTTGTGCTCTGACTTCTTGCCAGCTCTGGGACCTTGGTGAGTACTTGCTACTTAAACTCCATCTTGCTCTTAAAGCAGAGTTAAAACATAATGGCCATAGTTCTAGCTGCTAGGCTAACCTAGGTCTATAGTTCACATTAAACATTAGCTCATATCGCCTCCAGGTTTGAAACCAGTGTACCCAGAAGAAATTTGCAAAGGGACAGTGATGTTGAAATATTTTAAGTGCAAACAGGAGGACTCCTGTCTGCTGACAAGGACAAGGCTATGTTGTCTAAAGTCCCTATTTGATCCTCATTTTTCCATCCCTTCCCAGTGGCCTTTTCCTCTCTGGACCTTCAACAAGCTTGTGCCTGAGCATTCCAACGCACTCTTTCTTAAATGCCTCTGATGAAATATGTATATGTAGAATCCCTTACTTCATCTCAAAAGAGGTCACTTTTATATAGTTTCTCCCTGGGGGGATAGTGTTGCTACTGCTGATGAGTTGGCAACACTCAAGATTTGGAGCACCAGAGAAAAATTTTTAAATGCTCATATTCTGAGTATAGAGGGGATCTGGGCAGCAGAATTGTTAGTGGGGGGTTACTGCACCCTAACTTTTGCTTCCCACAGTCCAGTGTTTGGTGCACAGGCTTTTGGCTGCTTACGTTTTATTGCCTTCTAGTGGGAACTGGTTTCTCCACCCATTCTCACTGTCTGTGATCTCAATTCCCTACCGTTGCACTGGCCTGAGGATGCAGCTAGATCTGAGGGTGGGAGAAAATGAAGAGAGAGAGAGAGAGAGACGCTGTCATTTAGTGCATGAATTGGCTAAAGATGTAAGCCTGTCCACTTCTTTTCTTGGTCAAAGCAAAAAATGGGTAGGAGTCGTGAGCAGGTGTTGATCAGGTATACAGAACTGAATAGGTAGATATTTAATTTATCTTATGGGAGCTTTGGGAACTTGGAGTCTGATAATTTCCCTGTAATGAATCTTTCTCTCAAGACTCCTTTTCCCAAAAAAAAAACATTGTCTTCTGTAACCTGTCCAGATACTTCTTAACATCTTGCTTGTCAGTGTGACTGCCAGCACCTTAGAGACATTGACTATTTAGGCGATTTCTATTAGCAGAAAAATATGGGCTCAAAAGTTTTTCTTCTAAATGAATGTGTTGTGTAACATCCAAGCTGACTCAGAATACAGGTGCATGCTTTAGCTCTGAGAAGGTAGAAGAAGGGGGAGAGCCCAAGCCCGACAAGGTGTGGGGGAGGAAGGAAAGCACCCAATAGCACAGGCCACCCTGTGTTGCAGTCTTCGCCTAAACTGTATCTCTGGGAAAGAGTTCCTGGCTGCCTGTTTGTATCCCTGAGTCACCACAGACCCCCGCCCTCCAACGTGGGATGTTAACCTTGGAGCAATATGGAGATTAGCTGCAGAGCTGAAGCAGAGTCCCAAAGGAGCTTCAGTTCTGCAGAATCTACACAGCCTACTTTACCATACATTGGCCAGATGCTAGGGCTCGGGACGTCCAAGCTGACAACTGGAATCCCTCAAGGTAAGAAGAACCCCCTCCCAGGAAGTGGACTCCTCCAATTTTCTCACATGATTATTCAGGCACTTTCACTCTTCCATATATAGGAGTCACTCAGGAGCAAGCTGTGACCAGTCGGAGGGAGTGACACATCTGCGCTCAGTTCCTCCTCACCGTCCTCACCTCCTTCTCACGTGCTTGCGGGCTGTTCGGCAGAAGTGAGCCCCGTGGCTCTGCCAAAGACAAGCCTGTTGCGTTTACAGAAGGGAAAAAAAAAAAAAAAACCAACAAAACCAAAAACCCAAACAAACCTCGGGCAAAGTGACGGCATTGAAATCGTTACCCTGAAGAAACTGCGCGGAGAAGTGTGCAAAGATGAATGGACCGGTGGATGGCTTGTGTGACCATTCTCTAAGTGAAGAAGGAGCGTTCATGTTCACATCAGAGTCGGTCGGAGAGGGACACCCGGGTGAGTAGGTGGTCGTGGGCCCATGGCAGCCGCGACAGGGGGGTCATTTCACAAGAAGCCTTAAAAACAGTTTGTGTTGGTTACTCTGTGGGACCTCTGGAGGCACAATATGAGGCGTTTTTCATTCTATTAATTTGTAGTTTTGTAAAACAGTCACTGAGTATGAAATGAGAAGTGGCGAGGTAATGAAGCCAAGGGCTCGTGCTGTGCCCACCTCTTCCACCCACAGCAGAGGACACACAGTGGGTTGACGGAACATATTATACATGGGATATTATATCATCAAATATCAACTTTATATATATTTTGGGGGGGCCCGGAGGATACAGTTTTATTATTATTGAGCGACTCAAGTCAACAGAGAATCTTCCCTCAGACAAGACCACAGTCACTGAGTTTGGTATGTAAGGCACGTGCAGTCTAGGTATGAACAGCACATTCTAGTAGTCGCTGAGATAGATCGCCAGGTCCTGAAGGCCTCAGGTATGTTACCTGAGAGAAGTACAGGTGACCTCCTGAAGAGGAAGAACATTCGAGCAGTTTTTGGTGATGTGGGGAAATGGGAGAGGCTCACACATGCGAACAGTGAGGCCCATGATCAGAACCTCAGGTTGGAGATCAGTGGTTCTCAGACCTCAGGGATAATTGGCATCACCCGGTGGGCTTGCTAACACAGAGTGCTGCGCCCACCCCCAGAGTCTCTGATTTAGTAGGTCTTGGGTGAGGGTTAAGATTTGCATTTTTAATAAGTCCTCTGCTGCTGTGAGAACCACACTCTGAGAACCACTGTTCTAGAAGAATCCTGGGGGCTAGACACACTGATTTATGTCTTTGAGCACTTCTTCAAAATTCATTTGAGTATTTGAAGTTTTGGTAACTTATCACCAAGGCTACCTTTTCTTCATTTTCCTCATCCATGTTCTCTCATACCTTGTAACTCAGCTCTGGACATCTCACACCCACCACTCCTTCCATATGCTTTAGCCAGTGGTTCTCAACAAGGGACAATGCTGCCCCTTTTCCCCTAAAGGCATTTTGTATTATCTGAAAACGTTTTTGGTTGTCTGTCATAACTCTGCCATGAGGGGTTGGGGTGCTATGGGCACTTAGTGGATAGAGGCCAGGTATGCTTCTAAACATCCTGAATGCACGAGACCCTCCCCCCGACAACAAGGAATTTTCCAGCCCCAAATGTCAACAGTACCGCTGTTGAGAAACCTTGGCTTAAGCTGGGTTTTGTAGGTGACTTAGCTCAATTCAAAACAAATAGCCTCTTTCATTGTGCACAACTTTATAAAGTCTCTAGGTCTATAATGCTCATAACCTCGGATTCATTTCTGTGTGTAACACATGAAGACCATACATGGGTTAGGAGAAGGATTTGCTCCACTCAGAGGATGTGGACATGCATCCTTGACACACAGTGGCCAGTGGTCCCCTCGTGCATACAGCAGTGTGCTCAGTGGGCAGAGAAGAAAAATTCTAGCCAACCAGTTGGTAGTTCATGGTAGCCTTTCAGTCTGTCTGACTCTCCTTTCACTTGCCACAATCAATTAACTGTCCATGTAAGTCAGCTTCCCCTAAGGCTTGGTGATGGCTTGCTTGTCATTCCAGTGCTGACTTCTCCACCAGGAGGATAATATGAATGCTTTTTTCAACTTCCAAGAAAACCAGCTATTGACTACCTTAAAGCTACTGAGTGATATTGATAGAAATTCCGAAAACCTAAAGAGACTCTCCAGATAGGGCCTCCTTAGGCATTCCTTTAGTCTGTGGAGCTATCTTAACACTATTGCTTAGCTCCAGCTTTATCCCTAACACCCCTTATCCCAGTGCCCTGTGTGGACTGAGTACATGTGACCTGCGTCCTTGAAAGAAGCAGAGTCAGCCATAGTCGGCATGTGAGTAGCCCTAGGAGTCCTGATGGGTAGGCCTAAGAGGAATATTTTAGCAGCAGGCCTTCATTGGTAGGGGTGTGCAGAGGCGGTGGCCTTGGACAAACCTAGATTTACAACCAGGATCTGACACTGGGGGGAGGTTGCACAGAGAACCTCAAGTTGTAGTAGCAGTTTCTGAAGGAAATTTTAGAGAATTCACCTTGAATGGCAGATTAATATTTTAAGTTGCATTGACATTAACATTTTAAATGGTGCACTTGTGAGAGCAGAACCACTTGATTCTGAATCTGGATCCTTAATATGAAAACTGTAAAGCTAAAACAAAACAGAAGGACACAAGGAAACTTTTGGAGGTGATGGATATGTTTATTACCTTGTTTATGGTGATGTGTATTCGCATGTCCAGACTCCCCAAATTGTATACTTTAATTTTATGCAGATTTTTTGTACACCAATTATACCTTGATAAAACTGGAAAAAAAAAACCTTATTAATCTATTAAGAGCAAACTCTATGGGTACTTTGAACATTAAATGAGATGTAATATGTGTAAATAGATGTCACTTTTATTTCTGAAACTGTGAACAGTGACAGTTCACACAACCCCAACACAAGAGTGGATTTTTCCACAGTGCAATGCATTGAGGGTCTGCAAGCTCAACCATGTAGAGTCCTTAAGGCAAGTAGTGAAAAAAGAAGATCAAATCCCAGCTTATGCTGAGCCGTTGTCAGTTCCACCTTGACTGAGGTCAAACCCAGCTATTAGAACATCTAGCCTTCAGGAGGCTGCGTGGCCATGGGCATGATCTGAGAGCTGCTTATGGAAATGTTCTGTAGAACAGCAGTGATGTATAGAGGCTCTCTTCTGGAATTCCTGTGGGTGGGGTGGTGGATTTGGGCGTAGCATCGTATATACAGTATACTGCAGCTTCTAGAACCTGCGGAGCAATGTATCTGTTTGTCCCATCTGATTTTACGTGTTGGCACCTAATCTTACCAATGTTGTTAGCTATTTTAACTTCTATTTCTAGGAGTTTTCTAGATTTTAGACTTAAAGGGAATATCTTGAGGAACAAGAGCCTTTTTAGTAGGAGAATGTGTGTGTCTGTGTGTCTGTGTGTCTATGTGTGTGTGTGTGTTTGGTGTGTGTGTGAATTGCTTTAGTCTCTTAGAACTGATTTTGGGATGTATTTCTTTTTTAGGGAACGCTATGAGTTTATCTAATATAAATCATCCAAAATTAGGCAGAAATGGGAAGAAATAAAAATTTCAAAAAGTTCTTAATTTTTTATATTTAAAAAAGTGTCCTCTTAGGTAGGTGAATTTGATATGTGAACTTACCAAATACCTAATTATTTTAACATTTCAGTTTGTTATACCTAATATTTCTATGATTCTCACACATGTTCATCCTTGTGCAGACAAGATCTGTGACCAGATCAGTGATGCCGTGCTGGATGCCCATCTGAAGCAGGACCCCAATGCCAAGGTGGCCTGTGGTAAGAAACACCCACTCCCTCCCTGCTGAAGACCTCAGCGGGTTGGGCTCGAGGCCTTTGCTGGTGCCTGTGCTGGGGCTCTGGGCACAGCAGGGAGTCAGGGGCCCCAGCGCCTGGAGGGCCCCCGAAATGATCATGGGTGCAGCTGAATCAGGGCCTTGGCCAAGGTCACAGGAGAGGGGGTGCTCGCATGGAGACCAGAGCCCCCCTGTCCTCACTGTGTGCCGCACAGACGGCTTCCTCCCTCTCCAGCACTGCCCTAGCCTCTGCACTGAGCACCGCAGGGACCTGGGCCCTCTGAGGGTGGCCCTCACCCTGATATCTTTGTGACTAGCCAGTGAGAAGGTTGGCCCGCCTTGATCTCAGGATCTCAGCCTGGTGCAGCGTTAGCAAGAAGGGGCGGGAGAGGCACCCGGATGCATTCTGTATGACAGCCGCCTACCCCCATGGTCTCACCCTGATCCACACAGCAGTCCAGTGGAACTGTGGTCTTCAGGTAGCAGACAGGCAAGCAGACTGAGAGAGGTTAAATAAGTGGTTCAAGACGACACGAGCAGGAGGTGGCTCGCTGGCTGCGAAGGCGAGATGTGACCCATTCTGTCCAAAGTGCAGTGCCCCGGGAGGGATCTACCCGTGCTCAGCACTTCTGCTGGGGTTTACTCTTGTTTGTTAGCATTATTCTCTTATGTCCGGAATCCATGCTTTGTGAGACTCTTTGCGAGAGGTCTGGGAGGGGGGCTCCCCTCCGCTGGCTTGTGGCTGCCAACTGTTCTCCCTGCCTCACAGAGACGGTGTGTAAGACAGGCATGGTGCTGCTCTGCGGCGAGATCACCTCCACGGCCACGGTGGACTACCAGCGGGTGGTGAGAAGCGCCATCAGGCACATTGGCTATGACGACTCTGCCAAGGGTGAGGCGGGGCCCTGGGTCTGAGATGCGTGGGCGCCCCGATGCCGCGTCCCAGCTGAGGCTCTTGGTCCTCGGCTAGTGCAAATACCACCGGGAGGAAAACATTCCTAGACCCTCCTGGCAGGGTCAGGGGTCAAAGTCTCTGGCAACAGCACGGTGGCCCATGTGACGGCGCCCAGTTGAACTACCCCGTGTCAGTCTGTCCGTCCATCCATTTTTGACTCTGGTCTTCGTGGTGCAGGCAAAGGCTTTGGAAGAGAGAAGCACCCACTGAGTAAGGGGAGCTGCCCCCTGCGGGGGACCTGTTCTCTGCCAGACCCTGGGGCTGCTCTTTGCAGGTGTCCTTTTAACTGTTTGAGGCCCTCTGCCGTACTCCTCCTGCAGATGAGGAAATTGAAGCTTGGGAATGTCCATAATTTGCGTAAGGTGACCGCCAGCAGGTGGCTGCCCATGTGGACTCCTGTGCTTTCTGTTTCCCTATGCTGCTTCTCATGATAGAGAAAAAGGCGACTCCGCCCAGAACCGGTACCCATGGCCGGTGAAGGGGACAGGCTGGCTGAGGTGGGCTCCAGTGCCAGGCAGTGCGGGAGGCTGCATTCCAGGGAAGGGACACAGGCCCTGGCAGGAAGTGAGGAGGAGCCCTGTGATCAGGGCGGACATGGGAGGAGACAGTTGGAAAGAACAGAAGGGCCCAAAGCAGATTCCAACATCTGAGACGGGGCAGGCCGGGAAGGGGCCCAGCCTGGAGCAGTCTCAGAGAACAGCATGCGAGAGCCAGATGCTGAAGGCCTGTGTGCACTGACCTACCAGCTACTGGGTCTTTAGGGTGACATGCACCGCCGCATGGGTCAGGGCAGGCTGGAATGAGGCACTGTACCCGTATGAGCGAGAGCCCCTCGCCACTGAGGGTGCAGACACAGAAGCTCAGCACAGCCGCCTTCGGAGCTGCCCAGAGCACTCATCTGAGCACATGAAAGTTTGGGGGGATCCATGTCAGGAATCAGCAGGAGGAGAACCAGTGAGCACAAGCAGAATCTCCCAGTCAGCGCACAAGAGTGTTCATAGAGGAAACGCTCTGTCCCCAATCAGCAGCTTCCCCACATGCCACCCTGCAGAGCCTTCACCCTGTTCTACAAGGAAAAGCCGATTGTTTACATACGTGTAGACCTTATTCAAGAGCAAGTCTTGTTCTGCGCTAGGTGGAAAGGAGACTTCCCAGGAGGCCATGTCTCCTAGAGAAAGAGAAGCGAAAGAGAGCCCAGCTCTGCTGTGCCCAGCTTGTCCCCGCACCCGGACCCAGAGGACCCTGTGCAGCATGGTGGCTGCCCTAGGGGGGGGGCCCAGGCTAACTGCCCCTTACGGCTCTGGGCCGTAGTCACTGGACTGGCTGCCTTTCTGAGTCCTGCTCCTCTCCCCTTGGTCCCCTGAATTCCGTTTCCTAATCACTCGGAGCCCTTGATGGAGTTGCAGCGCCGAGAAGGTTCACCATTTAGAGAGTGATTAGGAAAAAGGCAAAATGTTTAATGCACCATGGTGAGTCCTTGGCAGCCCTCTAAAGATGGTTCATTGGTTTGTGCATCCAAAAACGTTTGCTGGGAACAGGAAGCTGCAAGGGACAGAGGCGTCCTGATGCTCCCGGAGTGGGGGCACTGCCTGGCATTAAATGGTGCAGTATGAGGTGCCCTGTGGTGAGTTGGTGGCACAGTGTGCAGTGAAGGGAGGGAGGGAGGGGGAGGGGAGGTCTAGGGACATTTACTGAGAGCTGGTTGGATTTGGGTGTGTGGCGATGGGGAGTCAGAGGAGGAGGGGGATTATTCTACACCGAGACACCTAGTGGAGGTAGAAAAGCGAGCCACGCTGAAGGCTACACCTAAGCGCATTTGGCTAGAGCCGTTCAGCTGGGAGGGGCTGGGCGGAACTGAGGGGCTTGGGCTCCGCTTCATTTGGCGGGAGGTCCCCACGTGAAGGATGTACAGAAACAATAGACTGGAGCTGGGTTGGTTGGTTGGTTGGTTTTAGTAAGCTCACACTGGCAGCCTAGGCTGAATAGACTGGCAAGAGAGGGACAGTTACTCAGCTTGTCACTAACACTTGACCTTGTGGTGGAGCCTCTGTCAGTTTCAGCCCCTCATTCACACAGTCCGCATGGCTGAGCCAGCAAGGCCCGAGGACCTACAGGGAGATGAGTGTGCTGTCCGGGCGTGGCGGCCCCTTCCTGGGCTCCTTGGGCTGGGCAGCCACTGGCCAAACCTCCGTGAACCAGTTCCGGGCCTGCAGCCCCTTGCTGGAGAGAACAGCCTCCATCTCTGTGCCTGACCTTTGGGGATGGGCAGACGGGGCCTCAGCCTCCAGAGGGGCGCCTTTTCCATTTTGCTCCAAGCCCTGTGCATCGCCTGGGATCAGAGGACTCTAGGTCTGGGAGCATGTCTGAGTAGTTTCTGTGCACTGTATTTGTCCAATATATTTAATATCTGCATCAGGCGCATCCCCTGGGCTTCTGAACTGCAGTGCTGGAAGGCGATTTTCAGCCTGGATCTTAGAAGGTGCCTAAGGGGGCAGGGCCATGAGTCACCCACCTGCTCTTCAGCCAGAGTGGCTGTAGCTCTTGATCTGGTTTTTATACTGCAGTTCTGTGCAGGAGATATATATATATATTTTTTTAAAGATTTTATTTATTTATTTGAGAGAGAGAGAGAGCACGAGAGAGAGCATGAGAGGGGGGAGAGTCAGAGGGAGAAGCAGGTTTTGCACTGAGCAGGGAGCCCGACGTGGGACTCGATCCTGGGACTCGGGGATCATGACCTGAGCTGAAGGCAGACGCTTAACCAACTGAGCCACCAGGTGCCCTAGGATATATATTTTTAATCTGGGTATAATTTAATATAGTAAAATGCACTGTGGAGGATTTTCTTTGACTTAGAGTTCCAGATGATCATATGGGAAGGGTGCATGGGCTTCCCCACCCCTGGGCCTCAGCTTTGAGCCCAGACAGACCCCAGCTGGTGAGAGACCACCCGCCCCAACACCAAATGCCACGTTGGGAGCGGAGCAGTCGGCCAGGAAGCTCACAGCCACGCTCTGCCTGACCTGTGTCCCCACTAAGGCCCCCTCTCCCTTCTGCCTAGGCTTTGACTTCAAGACCTGCAACGTGCTGGTGGCTCTGGAGCAGCAGTCCCCGGATATCGCCCAGTGCGTACATCTGGACAGGAGTGAGGAGGACGTCGGGGCCGGAGACCAGGTAACTAAACGGGGCATGGGTGCCTTGTCAGGCTGTCGGGATGGCACTGCCTGTCTCCTCCCTGGCTCGGACCCCCGGGAGGGGCTAGCTGGGAGGGTCACGAGTGCTGGACTGAGCACAGTCCTGTGCGGGTGGTGCGTGCACGAGGGACCCAACACACTTGGCCAGAGTAGCAGCCAAGTGTTAGACTGGCAGCAAGTTGTCCCGTCGTCTAAAGTGGGCCTTGCTCAGTCGGCCCTCTCCCCTGCTCTAGGGTTTGATGTTCGGCTATGCCACCGATGAGACGGAAGAGTGCATGCCCCTCACTGTTATCCTCGCTCACAAACTCAACGCCCGGATGGCAGACCTCAGACGCTCCGGGGTCCTCCCCTGGCTGCGGCCTGACTCCAAGACTCAGGTGAGCCTCCTCCTTTCGCTCCCCCCGTGGAGCCCCAGACGCGCCCTTCCAGTGCCCCCAGACCCTCTTGATTCATGCCATGATTAAGATCAAAATGTTCAGTCAGGACACTCAAAGAATTATTGATTGTGAAAAGAACTATTTATTTGAAAACTCTTCAGGTCTAGATGTTTTCTCTCCCAATTTTTTTTTTATTATGAAAAAATGTTTAAAATACAGAAAAATGGAAAGAACTGTTCTAGATTTTTCTTTTTTGCCTTCTTAGCAGATGTTGACTCTGGTCATGTGATTTCCTGGCTCCTGCCACACGGTGCTCAATCAGTTTCAGACTTTTGGTCACTGCCCTTCCACCTCACAGGCCTCCACCCCTTGAGCAAAGACTAAACACTAGTTGACAAGGGTTGTCTGCGTCTCACTATGGCCCTTTACCCCTGTTTCTCATAAAGAGGCTTTCCCTTTGCTGTTTCGGACTCTCTGTCCCCTCAGGCCCTAACCTCGCCCCTCCAGGCAGTGGGGAAATCCTCACCAACGTCCACATTTGAAGGTCAGCTGTGATGCAAGAGTTAGCCGACGTGGAAGGGCCCTGTCTGCCTCCGCGCTCCGCGTCCCTGCCCTGTTTAACCCTGGTGACCTTGCGGGCCCCTTTCCTGGGGCCTCCTCCCCTGGCTCCTCTTTCGCCCTCCAGCAGGTCCTTGGCACCTCTTGCACACCCTCTCCCTCCACCCACGCTCACACCCAATTTCTACCGTGTCCCACTCAGCACCCCAAGCTTCTACCTGCAGGGTCTCTGAATCAGCGGCCGTCTTTCTCATCCACCCCGCAAACACCCGTGCCCGAGAGCCATCGTGTGCAGCTTCAGTGTCACCTCCTCCTCTGCTCAAGGGAGTGTGGTGGTGCCCCCCCTCCTGCTCAGCACCCCCTCTGTCTCCACCCTGCCTTAGGCATTTTCTCTCCAGAGCATCTCTTCTTCTCCAGCCTGGTTCCCAGGGCCAGGATCCGCACCGGGCCCTCCCGAGGATTCTCCCTGCCTGGAAACTCCCCTTAACTCCTTTCGGGACTTTTAATTTCTTTTTTTTAATTATTATTATGTTCAGTTAGCCAACATATAGTAGAATCCTCTGCAGTTTTCTGCTTCCTACAGGGGGACAAACCCCCTGCTTGTTATTCTGGTATTCCAAGCCTTTTATGGTCTTCCGGTTTTACCTTCCTCTACCTCCCCTCCCCCAGTCTACTTAATCTGGCTGATTTCACTCATGTTCCCCTTGTTTCCAGGGCTTTGCACCTGTGCTCGCACACTCCACCTTAACCTGGAATCTTCTCGGTTCTCCCCTGTCCACGAGTGGCCAGCAAAGCCCCCACCTCCTGTGGTTTTCCCTGGTGGCCGCCACCTCACGGGGCCTTCTCTGGCTCCTGTAGTTGGAATTCAGCACAGGTGGTTGTGTAGCTCAGCATGGAGCACGTGACTGTCCTGTTACCCCACCTGCACCGAGGTGCATCCTTCTGAGCGCAGGTGGGAGGCCTCACAGAGGGCAAGGAAGTGCATTTGCGGCCCCAAGCTAACCCTTCGTGGTGTTCTCCACGTGACCCCTCGGTGGGGAGTGGAACCATCAGCACTCCTCAGGGGTTCTCTGAGGTTGTGGCGCAGGGGAGCTATCATGCAAAGACTGTGGTGGCATCAAAAGAGAGGGGCACACAGGTGCTGGCGCGTCCAGCCCCCTTCCTGGGCCAGAGCCGTGCTGTGACGGGAAGTGCGGTGGAGATTCGCAGAACACAGAATCAGTGGAAGAGGGGTGGGAGAAGCCGAGCGACAGGGCTCTCCTTTTCCTTGTGTGACAGGGAGGCCCGGAGGCACCGCCGTGGGACCGGCCGAAACAGGGAAGGCCTGCATCATCTCGCTTAGTCCTTGAAGGCTTCCAAGCCCACGGCGGGGGGGTGGGGGCGAGGATGTGCTCTTCTGGGGCCTCCCTTCCTGCAGGGCTACACGGAAACCTCTTAATGCTACCTTGGACACCGAAATCCGCCTCACTGGCCTGCTGCAAGGGGGGAGCGAACCCCTGGCATTGCAGACGCATGGGTAGGGGTCTGCCCCAGCCGTCCGAGGGTCCCCGCCTGCAGCTGCTTCACTGTGCGCCGCACTGTGTCAGGACCGGTTTCTGGGCCGGCTCCAGAGCCCATATGAGAAGGACTTTCATCATCTAAGCAGAGTGTTGACTGTGAACAGGATGAGTCTTTCCACCTGAACAAATTCTTGCTGCTGATATGGAGACTTGAGTGGCAGTGCGGATGGCTATTTTTATACCTGGTCAGAGTTGTGTTTTCCGTGGTGTATTTTTCCCTACATCTTGCTGACATGGAGAGATAAGGGGCGTACTTGGAACCCTTTGCCCTGCTGCAGTTGTGTGGTTCTACATGGATGCTGCCTGGGGCTTACGGCTGGCCGAGTGGGAAGTCCAGGGAGCGGGGGAGTGGTCCCAGAGCCGGCCACAGGCCTCCCCTCCTGGGAGCCCCCACCCCAGCTCTGGCTCCCTGTCGCAGCTGTGTGTACGTAGCCCAGCATTTAAAGGTTGTTCTCTGTACGCAGATGTTCATGCGCAACTGCCACTTGAGCTAGGATCAGACATCATGTGGGCAGGGCTCATTCTCTTCCTCCTTCTGGACTCCACCCTCTGGTTCTTTGAACCAGGCAGGACACAGAGGAGTAGTTTGAAACAGGCTGGTGTTTGGTGGATATCGGAGGGCCCTTGGGCAGGCAGAGATCCTGCTGCAGGAACAGCCCCGGGGAGGCGCTGTTGGCTGTCCTGAGGTCCTCTCAAGGCCCCGGGGCAGGATGTTGCTACCAGGGACAGCTGGCCTAGTCGCACTCCTGCAGCCCCCCCACCCCGGTGGGTCCACACTGCCTCAGGGGGCACTGGGGCCTGTGGCTCCTGTGTGTCCCTCAGGGCCCTGAGTGGCAGCCTTCTGCTGGGCAGAGCCCCAGCTACCGCGCCATGTAGCCCCAGGGCAGAGCCCAGCTCTATCAGCTGTGTGATCTTGACCAAGGTACTTAGGTTCTGGAAGCTCAGCTCTCCTATCTTTAAAACAGGGTGAGCAACAGCTTCCCGCAGCTTTGGGCACCTCTTCTAGCTGCTTTCCCAGCTTCACCTGCTGTCCTCACTGTCCCCTTCGCTCTCGCTCTGCAAGCCTGGTGTGCCCAGACTGGTAATAGCCAGAATGGGCACAGCCCTGACCCAGTTGGGTAGAAGTGAGCATTTGAACTGCTCACTTGCAGGGGTACTGCAGGTGGGCCCCTTCCCTCCACGTGCTCTCTGCTCTTCCTTTCTTTGGCTCGGGCACCCAGAGGCCGGCCGGCCGGAGCTTGCTGCCCCCTCAGTTTCAGCCGGCCTGACCTGAGCACTCTCACCCTGTCCCTCCAGCAGGCAAGTCCCCTGGCCCCATGCACTTCCAGAGCTCTTCCACTGAGGGCCTGGGGCAGCCGGCCTGGCCCACAGATGCCTGTGCTCTTTGGCAGAAGCTGGGATACCCTGGCTCCAGGCCGTGGAGTGTCAAGAGAGGGCTTTGGCCAGGGGGACATTTGTTGGCACCCAGAGCCCTCTGAGACAGAAGGGGAGGAGTCTAGTTGGGTCACAAATGAGAGGAAACTCTGTAACCCTGAGTCTCTAAGGGGCACAAATAGGGGTCATAGGTGGGAATAGCTTATGCCTCATACCCAGTCATCCCATACATAGCACGTGGCAATTGCTCAAACATAAGAAGATGTCAGATTAACTTTCCTGGAGGCCCTTGAAGGACAAGAGGCCCCCCTCACTTGGCTCCTGGGTGTCTGTGCCTGGCAGCGATGTGTCCTCAGCTCAGCGCCTCTCCTGCCCTTGTGACCCAACAGGTGACAGTTCAGTACACCCAGGACAATGGCGCGGTCATCCCCGTGCGCATCCACACCATCGTCATCTCCGTACAGCACAACGAGGACATAACCCTGGAGGACATGCGCAAGGCCCTAAAGGAGCAGGTGATCAAGGCCGTGGTGCCCGCCAAGTACCTGGACGAAGACACCATTTACCACCTGCAGCCCAGCGGGCGGTTTGTCATTGGCGGTCCCCAGGTGCGCCCTTGCCTCTGAGCAGAGTCCTGATTTGCCTTTGTTACTGGGGTTGCTTACCTGCCGGAGCACAAAGGAGGAGGTGGCTTTGTGTGGCTCAGCCACGTCTGGGCCTGGACAGAACATGAGGTCGGCTCGTGGGGCCTGCTGTGTGTGCGTCAGTGCATGCGGAACTGGGACATGTCCCCAGAACCCTCCCACCTAGTGCAGCCCGGCCTCCCCTGGTCATACTTGCCTACGCTGCTACCTCGCCCTGCTGAGCCGCCACATCACCCTTGCAGATGACTGGCCTCCCCAGGTGGCAGTACGGGGTCTTTGCCACAGGTTGCCTTCAACTTGCGTGGGGGCAGGTGTTTCAATGGGGACCCCTGCTGCCCCCTTTCTTCTCTCTCTCTCCAGAAGAGAGAAAGTGGGGATTGGCAGAGCACCCCGGAGAGGCTGCTTGACCTCTGCCAGGGGTGCCTCAACTGGGGATGCATTGCCACCAAGTGGAGCCCCTGTAATGGGTTCCATGACCAAATGTCTTGCAGAAACACAGGGTAAAAGGAAGGCAAAGCTTACTGTCCTTTCTTGTAGGACTTCTCAAAGCCTAGATGTGCTGGTGGGAATGGTGGGTCTCTAAGCAGGGGGATAGAGTACGCAGTCTTTCCCCAAAACACTGAACACGGAGCCCCTGCCCTTTCAAAACGTGGTGGTTGCCTGATGCTGCACGGAGCAGACACGGGAGGAAATGGGCACCGTGGCATGTGCCAGGTGCCACCAGCCAGGGCCACAGCCTGGGGTGTACTTAGCACAGTTCCTGCCTGCAGTTGGATTTCTCCAGCATGACTGACTGACTCATAAAAACAAAGACTGAAGTAGAAGCTGGCTGGGATTCCAGCCTCTGGCCCATTGTTTGCACTTTCTCATGGGGCTCTGGCAGGTTACCTGGCTTCTGGAATTGGTCAGTGACTGAACTGGGGTTAAAGACCAAGGTTTCCAGCTCTGGGGGGCAGGGCAGGTCTTGAAAAAATGCCCGCAGACAGCTTCAGGGCACCCTTTCCACGTAAGTCCAGCGGCCTTCAGCGTGCTACAGCTGCCCTCCCGCCCTGCTCTCTGCGCACTCTGGTTCTCATCTCCTCCCTCCCTGTCCTCCTTTCCCTCTGCAGGGGGACGCGGGCGTCACTGGCCGTAAGATTATCGTGGACACCTATGGTGGCTGGGGGGCGCATGGTGGCGGGGCCTTCTCTGGGAAGGACTACACCAAGGTGGACCGCTCGGCAGCGTACGCAGCCCGCTGGGTGGCCAAGTCCTTGGTGAAAGCGGGGCTCTGCCGGAGAGTGCTCGTGCAGGTGGGTGGGCCCCACTCTGACCACCCCATCTTGGCCCCGGGTGAGGCCGTGCTGGCCCGGTGGGAGGCCCACACACTTTGCCAAGGGCACTGGGGCGCGTACCCTGAAAACCTGAGGGAGGGAAAAACATCTTCTAGGAGACAGGCATGCATCACTGTGAAGATGGTGGGGATTTTTCTAGGCAGACAAGGTTGGGGAGCATGTTGGGCAAGTGGGTGGTTCCAGCTGCCCCTCCCTGAGGATGTTTGCACAGAGGCTTCTGCCCCTGACCCTGCTCTCTTCTGGAAGGTTTCCTATGCCATTGGTGTGGCTGAGCCACTGTCCATTTCCATCTTCACCTACGGAAGCTCTCAGAAGACAGAGAGAGAGTTGCTAGATGTGGTCAATAAGAACTTTGACCTTCGGCCTGGTGTCATCGTCAGGTAAAAGCGCCGCCCCCCGCTGCCGGACAGGCCCCTCCTCCTCCCTCACCCAGAGGCTCGGTTCCACTGGAAGTGAGACAGAAGGAAGGACTTTCAGCCTCCCCAAAGCAGGAGGGCGTCCAGGCTCCTGGACCAGCACGACAGACACCCCAAATGCAGGACGCCTGCTTTCAGGCTGAAGGAGGCTGGCCCCGAGACACTCCAGTGGGGCCATCTTGGAGCAGGTGGTGGGGGAGGGTCATAGAAAAGTGATCGTAAAGCCGAATGCTGAGAAGTGAGCCAGCAGGTCTAGTCCCATCTCCCTTTGTTTCTAATGCCATCCCTGCTTTCTGGAGCTTGGTGATGTTGGTCTGCGCCAGGCCAGTGGAGTGGAGAGGAGAGAGGCACGGTGAGGCCAGAATTCAAATTCTGGGTCCTGGGTGTGTCTGTCTGAGCCTGTTTCCTGAGGGCCAGTGACAGTCATCTCAGAAGGTGTGGTGTGGCACAGACAGGAAGTTTATGGGAAATTGCTCTGAGTGCGGACACTGCATGCAAAGACCGTCACACTCTGATAATCACTGCTGGGCTCAAAATTCAGAGAAACTCTGCTCCTTTTCCATTTAAAATGACCGTTTCCTCTGCTGACTGTGCAGGGATTTGGATTTGAAGAAGCCCATCTACCAGAAGACGGCGTGCTATGGCCATTTCGGAAGAAGCGAGTTCCCGTGGGAAATTCCCAAGAAGCTTGTGTTTTAGAGCTGGTGGGAGTGGGGCCGGGCCTGGCCCTGAAGGCATCTGGGTGGCCTGCTTCCTCTTCTTCAGCATCCCAGCTCTCACATGTCCCAGACCCAGGGCTCTGACTGCCCTCCCAGGGAGTGCCTTCCCACCCCCCACCCCCTCCTGGACCAAGCCACATTCCTAGGGTTAGCCCTGTGCTGTCATCACTGTGAATGGCAGGAGGCTTGCTGGTGCTGGGGGTCACATCTCCTCAGGAGGGTGGTCACAATGTTCCCCTGCTTTTCCCTCAGACCTAGGCCATGTTCATTTAGTGGAAAAACCATCCCTATCAAGAGTAAATCCCCTCACTCACCTCCCCCGTGAGCGGTCCGCTCCTCCCTCACAGATCTCAGGGATCCTGGGTGTGCCGGGTCAGCCCTTCACATCTGTGGCCTGTGTCCTAAGCCAGGGCCTTCACAGAGGCCTCCCGGGCTAGGCATCTGGCCAAGGTAGGAACAGGGGCTGACATCTCCTAAGCATCTACAAATGTGTGAGGGACTGAGCTAATTACTGATCTCATTTCTTCTTCACTGCAACATGATGAGGTTAACACCTCATTCCCACTTCTATAGGGGGAAACTGAGGCACAGACTACGTAGGTAACTTCCCCAAGGTCCTATAGCCACACGTGTCAGGACCTAGACATGAGTCCCGGAGCTCTGACTCAGGAACCCGTACACCCCCCAGCCCCGTTGCCATCTCATGCCAGATGCAGGCCTGAGCAATGACAAAGCAGATTTGAGATGAAGCTGTGTGACCTCTGCCCTGAAGACCTGAGGTTGCTGCGATTAGGGGATTAACCCCTGGTTCTTGGTGAGCCCAGTGATATGCGAAGTCAGGACAGAGAAGCTCAGGTGGCCAGCCCCTTAGGGGCCCAGAACCCTGTGTCCTTCAAGTCCTTCTCTCTCTTCGGCCTCGTTGTCTGAATGCTATTAGAATAAGTGGGTGAGGGCGCCTGGGTGGCTCAGTCACTTAAGCGTCTGCCTTAGGCTCAGGTCATGATCCCAGGGTCCTGGGATCGAGTCCCGCATTGGGCTCCCTGCTCAGTGCAGAGCCTGCTTCTCCCTCTCCCTCTGCCATTCCCTCTGCTTGTGCACTTCTGTCTATCTCTCTGTCAAATAAATAAATAAAATCTTTAAAAAAAAATAGAATAAGTGGGTGAGCCCCTCAGATGCCCCTTTCAGAGAGGCCAACTCTGAGGCCCAAACATCTGTGACCCAGATGGCAGGGCTGAACTCCTAGTGGTAGAGAAGTTGGCTGGGATGTCATGAGGGAATCCTGCCTTGCCAGGTGGCTTCTGGGCCACAGAACCCATGGGGGCCTGAGTGTTCCTCAGTGTGCTAGGGTCTTGGAAGCTGCACCTGCCTTTCCATCCTTGGCCAGCACTACCTACCTCGCCTGTCCTCAGCCTGGGCCTCTGACAGCAGCATCTCGGCCTTCTCCCTAGCTGCCCAGACCACAGGCTGGGTGGGGGCCTCCACGGATCCCAAGAGCTGGAGACTGGGCTTCTTTCCAGGGCGTGTGATGCTGATTCTGGCTGGGACAGGCAGCCCACGAAGCCTCATCTGGGGAAAAGACTGCCAGCATCTGGGCTCTAGGCCTGAAGCACAAAGACCCGAGGCTCTTCTCTTTCCGTCAGAGAAAAGGCAGCTCTTCCGGGAAGAAAAAAGAAGCCCAAATTTGCATCTAAGCCTAGAGCTTGTGTCCGTTCTGGAGGCTCTGGTGTGTCTGCGGGCACCAATCACCCAGCAAGTCTCAAGCTCTTTCCGGGAGAGGGAGGTGCAGGTTTGTGGGCAGCGAGTTCCTCTCACTCAGGCCATATTAGAAGTCAAAATTCACAATTGTATACTTTCCCCACTCCCTAGAGAAACAAGATCTTTTTTGGTGTCAACATTGTTTATAAGAATCTAGAACCTTTTTTAATAGCTCCAGCCAGGACAGGATCAATCAAACGGAATAAACAGCCCTTCAGTGAATCAAACTGAAGGAACAACTACTCTATGCTTAGTTTTTGTCTGCAAACCTCCAGACACCCCACCTCTGAGGAGCATCCCCCAGCCCTGAGCAAAGGGGTGGTACCCCCTGCTCTGTGTTCCCCCACCCAGGGTCCCCTGTTCCTGTCTGTGTGGGCTTCTCCGGCATAGATTAAGGCTTCCACATCCCCAGCGACTGCGTTGTCACCACATTTCTGTATTTATTCCTCACCACACCCAGCTGAGTTTCATGGGGAGAACCTGAGGCCCAGAGGGTGAGGAACATGACCCAGGCACCCGGCTGGCAAGGGGCTCCCCAATCTCCCAAGCGCTCCATCACCATGTGCTACCGCCCCTCGGCCTGGTGCCCTCCCTGCAGATTATCTGCAGCAAGACTGTCATGAGGGGGGCACTCAGGCCATGTTGTCCGTTGGCTGAATCACTGAAGTCAAATGAAGGGAGTGAAGGAGGGTTTTGGTCTGCAGAGACATGAACCAGACCTTTAAACAGGTTTAAAGGGGCACATCCCCCTTTCACACACTGTGTGAGGAGAATTAACAGGTGACATTTGTATTAGCAGACTGTGGGAGCAGAAGCCCCTGGAAAGACAGTCCTTGGCGGGGTGGGGGGACGCTTCCTGCACTGTGTCCTACAAGCAGGCTGTGGGGAGAGGACCCCGCTCCGGAGAAACATCCAGGTCCAGGCTGAGGAGAAAGCCATGTGAGAAGGCTTTGAGACGGGCTCGTCCAGGTGCCAGGAAGGGCAGAAGTGCGGCCGAGACCTGGGAATGTGGCAGAGAGGCAGAGAAAGCCAAAGGCCACAGGCTTGCATGAGACAGAATCAGTGACTTGAGCAGCAACTACAGGGGCCATGCAGTGACCTGCTTTTCCTAGAATATAATCCACATTTCATAAGAAAAGAAAAAGACACCCATGAAACATTGGAATGCTTGCCTGAGAGGGAAGGCAGTGAAGGAATGGGCTTTATGGGCATCAAAGGCCAAATGATGAGGGAGAGCAAGAAGGAGAAGCCACTTCTGAGCCACGAAGCCCTCAAGTGTCACAGTGTTGTGGAAGTGGTGAAGGACATGGGTAAGGGAAGCCAGTGGGTAGGAGGAAAGCCTACCAAGGACAGTGGGGTGTCCTTGGAAGCCAAGTGAAGATGGTGTGTCTGGGGCCAGGGAGGGCTCACCCATGGGAAATGATACCAATGGGTTAGATGATGGGAGGCCTCAGGGGTCCGGTGACTTCAGCATGCGGAGATGGGTGGTGGCTGGGAAAAGGAAGGAGAGGCATTAAGAAGATGTAAATACAGCCATATCCTCCACCCCAACTTGTAATCCATTGGTACCTCTAATGCATGCTGAATAAAGTTCAGGGTGCATGACTAAGCTGTCACTGCCCCATGTGCCTGCCCAGTGTCCATCTGTCCGCCCTCATTCTGGGCTCCACTCCCTGCCTCCACAGTCCAGACTCCCCAGCTTCTATGGTTTCCTCGAACAGCCCAGTTCATTCTCACCTCAGGATCTTTGCACATGTCATTCTATCTGTGATACTCTTCTCCTGTGTTTAAATGGATGCTCCATCTCATCCCTTAGGTCTCAGATGAAATTTCTGTCTTTCTGAAAAGCCCCTGCCTTGGTAACCTCCCATTTGTACTCCCACTTTTAGTTTCTTGTTCAGTGTCTAACACAAGTGTAAATATGAATTTCCTTGTTTAAACCTCTTTGGGGCCAACCCCCGTCATGACTCGACTCCTTCCACACCTACCCTCTGAGTCCGTCCAACCTCAGGTTACAAGTCACCCTCCAGAAAGACCCTTTCAAACATCCTCCATAAATCACACCCACTGCCATCTTTATCTGCTACTGGGTTTCAAAGGCTGTCATGATTTATGGATGTCAGTGCTTGCTTCTTCATGCCTGTTGCCCCCACAGGACTTGGAATTCTTGAGGTCTTACCTTTTCTGCTCTGTTTGCCACTTCATACCTGGATCAGTGCAGGGCTTGGCACAGAGGGGGAGCTCAAGGTGGTCATAGCAGAGAATGGATTCTAGGTGTGTCCGTCTCTCTTGCCCCCGGAGCCCCTCTTAGCAAAGAGATTTTGGAAGAGATGAGGATCCTACTTGCCCTCTGGCATGTTCTGTGCCAGGCTCAGGTGTCCAGAGATACAAATTAGAATTATTCAGTAGAATTTTTGTTTAAGCACTCCTTAAACTGTAGCGCTGTGACTGTGAGGACTTCTACAATAGTCACTTGGCATTTTAATCTTTCAACACTAGATATGGACATGGGATGACAAGATGACAAACCCCATTTTCCACAGAGTGACATTGGGTAGGGGGGCACTCAGGAGGTATAAATTGAGGATGGAGAGGAGGGACCTTGGTCTGAAAGGAGTTGTGGAGTTGGCAGAGGATGGAGGAGTAAAGAAATGAGAATTAGAAAAGAATTAGCATCTCAGCAGTGGTTGGTTGGAGTGAAAGGCTTGGGGTTGGAACTTTAGAAGAAATTTTTGCCTGTGACAAATTCCCTGGAGTACGTGTGACCCAGATACAGTGTAAGAAGTAGTGTGACACAATATGATATGGAAACAACCTAAGTGTCCATCAATAGACAAATGGATAAAGAAGGTGTGGTACAGATATACAATGGAATATTATTCAGCCATGAGAAAGAAGGACATCCTACCATTTGCAACAACTTGGATGAACCTTGAGGGCATTATGCTAAGATTAGTCAGGCAGAGGTGCCTGGGTGGCTCAGTTGGTTAAGCATCCAACTCTTGATTTTGGCTCAAGTCATGATCTCGGGATCCTGAGATGGAGCCCCACTTCAGACTCCCTGCTCAGCAGGGAGTCTCCTTGAGATTCTTTCTCTCTCCCCCTCCCTCAACCCCTCCCCCTGCTCATGCACTCTCTCAAATAAAATCCTTTTTTTTTTTTAAAGAAAGGCAGAGAAAGACAAATGTTCTATGATACCACTTTATGTGGAATCCTAAAACACCAAACTCGTAGAAACAAAAGAGTGGTTACCAGTGGCTGTGGGGTGGGGAAAATGGGGAGATGTTGGTCAAATGGTACAAACTTGCAGTTAAAAGATGTTGTTCTAGGGGCCTATTGTGCAACAGGGTGATTATAGCTAGTAATACTGCATCATGTCCTTGGAAGTTGCTAAGAGACTAAATCTTAAATGTTCTCACCATAATCATGGAAATGGTAATTATGGGATGTGTTGGAGGTATCTAGGGATCTATTGTGCAACAGGGTGATTATAGCTAGTAATACTGCATCATGTCCTTGGAAGTTGCTAAGAGACTAAATCTTAAATATTCTCACCATAATCACGGAAATGGTAAGTATGGGATGTGTTGGAGGTATCAGCTAACTCTACAGTGGTTATCACTTTGCAATGTATAGATGTATCAAATCAGCATGTTGGACACCTTAAACTTACACAATGTTACATGTCCATTATATCTGAAAAAAGCTAAAAAAAAAAAAAAGTGTGACAGACACCTGGTCCCTAGGTTGTGAGGTCTTCTGCTTTCTTACCATGATACCTTCATGAGAGAGGCTTTGAGGAAGTAAATAAAAGGGGTTGTGTTCTGGGTGCAATTCATGGCAGCCCTGGAGGCAGAAAAATGTGGGTTAAGTAAATAACTCAGTGGGAAGCAGAAAACAACCCCAGGAAATGGGAGAATTTGCAACCCCAGCATCTGCATCAAGGAGGGTGTTGGGCGTCCCCTAAAATAAGGTGGCTGCT